ATACACACACTCATAACATGCGCTACATACACCAGCACAAATCAGACACGGTACCAGTAAGAAACCAGAATGTGGTGTGAATGAATTAATAGTAGCCAAGGGGTGACATCTGTTGGCTTTCTGAGTAGCTCCACTCGTCTTAGTGACAGGGGTTGTAAGTTTGCAACTTTTTTATTTTATTTTTTTATGCAAAATAAACAGAATTATTACCTGGATATTAACACCTCTTCTCTCACTTTACATTTCAGAATGATAAAGGATTTGACAAAGCAATATTTGAGAAGCAAATGTCTGTGATGAGGGGTCAGGTGTGTGGGTTTTTTTTTATTTTTTTCTCCCTTTCATTTGCTGTGATTATTCCCCTATTTTGTGTGTGGTTTTTTTTTTTTTTTGTCTCTAAAATTTGCCAGAATTCCATTCTGTAAAACTATATAGTCAGCTGTATAGTGCACCCCCTATATTTGCAATACAAACCATATTGCTGTAATTGAATTAAAGAACACTCAATCTATTTAAAGAGCACTAATATTAACCAAGAAGACTTAAATGGTCTTTACAATATATATAATGTTATTAAACTTTTTTTTTTTTTTTTCTCCCTATCTATATCAGATTCTAAATCTGACTCAGGCATTAAAGGATGAAAAAAGTCCTATTCAACTTGTACAGATGCCGCGAGTTGTTGTGGAACGGAGCCGCAGTGGAAGCCAGGGTAGAATTGTTCACTTGAGTAATGCTTTTACACAGACTTTCCATTGTAGGAAGCCTTTTTTCTCCTCGTGGTAATGGGAAACTACAATGTCTTGAATACCTGAAGCTGCTGTTTTGCACATAGTACTGCAAAAGGTGAAATCTACTGTTGAATCGTACCAGCTGCCAAAGCCTCTGATCTGTTTCATGGAAGTTGGGTTTTTAAATGTAGCCTTGTTTACAGTTGTCTGCTGTTGTACAATCCATAAGGAACTGCATTGACTGTACAGTGTTTATATATTTTTCTTTTTAGGTTGATGTACAGTTGAAAGAGTTTACAAATGCTGGAATTAATAATTTGTGTATACAATTTACAGGTTTAATTTCTTTTCATGATGTGAAAGAGTTGTATATGCCACATGAAATGAAGAATCGATTGTTAAAATGCACTTTCTGTCCCCCCTCCCTCACCTCTTTCAAATTTATGACCTGAAGGCTAATGACCATAAGAAAACAAATTCACATTACATGCTTTTATTTACTTTTGGGACCAAAAATGTATTTTCACCTCTACCCTTCCTTTCCTTTTTATGTGAAAATGTTATTTGAACCAAAATTTTGAGACTTTCAGCAAGTCCACATACAAGATCCTTGCTGTGTGTACTACTAGAGCGCTAATTGGAGTGGTGAATATGTCCGGTTATTTTGTAATGTCCTTAAAATGTGGTGCTGTATTCGCCTGCCTTATAGAATACAGTGGGAGGGGGGTCAACCAGATGAATGTTACTCGCTGTTCTCAAAGTGGAGTTCCTGGAAAGAAAACAAAATTACAAAATCTTGTTTACAACTGCTGTAAATGTAGGACTGACACATGCCTTTCCACTCTCAGGGTTTACAAACTACAAGCAAGTTGTTTCTGAACCATATATTTAAGCCACAAAAGATACATTTTTGTAATGTTAACTTCATTTGAGCCCCTGCATGTGCCACACTTCTTGCTCCAAATGTCCAGGGGCACAAAGAAGTGATATTGTCTTATTACTGCACTGGTCCAAAATTTCAAATGTCTCCAGTGCCAACCTCTACCGGTAGTGTACATTATCTAAATTTCGCAAGGTTTTCTTACATAACGAATGTATCTGAAGAAATGAAATCTCTTGTCAATGGTTAAAACTATGTACTATAAAATTTTTGTTCATAGAATATAAATTAAAAAAACAAAACAAACTCACTGAATACTTTGAAATTATGTCTGAAATTATTGTTTCTTATATTTTTGATCTTGAGATTTGCCACATTGCTCCAAATAGAAAGCAAATACAGCATTTATTCTGATGTGGGTTTATTGCGAAGTGATCACCCAAAATGCATCCCCTCAAGCACAAATTAGTAATTTATTTATAATTTATCTATCTAGGGATCAGCAAAGTGGAATACTTCCAGAAGCATTGCATTCCAAAGTGGATTTATTCTCTCCATCTCATGTAGATTAGATTTACAGTTGGCCACTAACGGCATGAATGGATGCTAGGTCAACTAAGGGCTTAAGATTTGTAGTCCTATGCTACTAGCAAGACATAGTATGCACACCTGATGTAAATTGCTACGCTTGCTAAATTTTCACTTAATGTGCCTCTCACCAGTCTTCATTTAGTTCCACTTCTGTCATGCGCCTTATCCCATATCTGCATACAGTCACTTTGAGCCACCTGCTTTGTCATATTTGCTCTTTATATATTCACCCATCCTGTCAAGCTATCGATCATCACTTTTCTGACTAAGTTTCTTATAATGTCCTATAGTGGGAAATGGGTGGGCATATAAAAAGAGTAGGCAGAGCAAGGGAGAATGTGAAAAGAGCACAATTTGGCTACATCCATACATGTCACTGAAGTTGTGCACTTTTGGCTCACTCATGCCTACATCTTTTGATGGGAGTGAGTGGGGGATTCCTTTCAATCTAGGGCTAAATCAGTGCAGACCAGGTTATGATCATCATGCCTTCTTCACTTTCAGACAGTTTTGCTAGAACATGCAGCCAGAAGCGTGGTCTTTAGCAACAGGAGGGGCAGATCTCTTACCCTGCCTGCAATAATCCTGATCCTACAGTGTTAAGCATGTTACCCCTTGTCCACAAAGGAAAACATTGGATTGGTTAAGATAGTAAATTCTGGTTATAGGCCAAGGAAGCAGGCTAGGGACGGAGCCAAACGCCACCCTGGCCAATCATAATCTCCTCATAGAGATGCATTGAATCAGTGCATCTCTATGGGGCAAATTCAGCTTTTTGGATCAACAGCAAAAAAACAAATGTGAGGAAGGCTGAACTTGATGGACGCAAGTCTCTTTTCAGCTATGTAATGCCTGCAGGGATGGACTGTAGACACCAGAACTACATTAAGCTGTAGTTTTGGTGACTAGTGTCACTTTAAGTAGGACTGTTGCGTGTTTCAATACATGTTCCAGGATGTGTATATTTGTGTGTGTGTGTAAATATGTTTTCACATTTCATTATGTTTGCCTCCTGAAATAACATGAATTTGTGCTTCTATTCAAATGTAACTGTAAGACCTGTTTAAAGCAGCCGTTCTTTCACAAGAAGTACAACACAGAGCAAACTGTCAGTTCATGAGCGTGAAACACAAGACAACGGTCCACAATCCTCCATAGCGTAATTCACACAATGTATGAGATGATCTGTCCTACAGCCATCAATGGCTGTGGGAATGACAAAAATAGATGGCAGAATGTGTATGTTACATCTGTTCCTCTAAAAACACGTGAAGTAAATGGACTTGTTTTCCAGATTTCTACTAGCCCATGCTCTGTAACAAGTGGAATGACCATTTGTTTTACACTGCAGAAAGCGATCATAGAGGACTTATGTGAACATTTCAGGATTCTCTCTGGTTCCACACCAGAGATATTCAACCTGAAATTGAGGTAAAAGTTAAACTTAATTTCTCCCCCACTTAAAAAAAATAAATAAAAAAATGTAAGTGTTAAACCTGAAATGTTCTGCATGACCGTTATTAGAGGTGCTTATTTCTTCACACTGAGTAAAAATAAGAAATGGATTGGTGGAGATTGTGGCTTGGATGCTGACCTTACCAGAGGTGGAGCTGGAGGCTGCAGTTTAGGAGACCTGGCCCTGGAAAAGAGATGAGTAATTATTTTACTTTAATTTTGTGAATCCGAAGGGGAGTGCACAGAAGGGAACCTATAAGCCTGACATAAATATTTTTTCTAGAATTTAAATTCCCTTCGTGGGGAAAAATGGGCAAGTGAAAACATCTGTGTGACTTTGATAAGGGCCAAATAGTGATGGTTACATAACTGGGTCAAAGCTTTTCTAAAATGGCAAGTCTTGTTGGGTGTTCCTGGTATGCAGTGGTTAGAACCTCTATCAGTTATGCTAGGAAGTTCAGCAGGTGAACCAGCCTTAGGGTCATGAGCGCCCAAGGCTCATTGATGCATGTAATGAGTGAAAGCCCACCTGTAGCTCAAATTACTGAAAAACCTAAAGCTGAACATGATAGGAAGATGCTAGAACACTGTGCAGTGCAATTTGGTGCGTATGGGACGGTGTAGCCAGACTGGTCGGAGTGCCCATGGTGACCCTTGTCTACCGCTGAACGTGCCTTCAATGGGGACCAAATACTCACAGTAATGTGTCTTTAAACTACAAGAAATGTGTTTAGAAATCAGTCTGTGTAACTAAGATACATTGTTCTTGTTCTAAATTACATTTTAGTTGCATACCTTTTTTTTTAGAAATTCATATACAATTCTCAAAATAGCCACTACACTGGCCATACCCCCACTCACACCCCTGATATTAAAGTGTCCCTCTTTGTCGGCTTGGAATGTTGTGTGGTATGGTGTAGTGGCCTTGCAATTTTTATATTTTTTAGCAGATTGCAATAGTGTTGTCTGGAGGGATTGATGAATTACAAACACCCATTATTATAACATGTATTTATAGCTATTCATATACTGTAACCCCTGCCAGTGTTTAGTACACCTTTATGTTCCATGTAATTAATATATGCATACAGTAGATCAAATGAACGTTCCAGGTGAAAAAGGGTGAACCAAATGAATTTCAATCTGAAATGTTCAAGAACTACAGTATTAGAATGAATATTGAGTGCTCCTCCCAGCCACTAGGGGCACTGTGCGTTAAGCCCAGCTACAAGTGCTGCCCTTAATAAAAATGTCCGATGTGGGATGCTTGCAGCACAGGTTGTTGCTGTGCCCTTAGTAAAGATGGCGGCGCAGTCACATGTAGGAATCTGTGAGTGAGACAGATGGAGGCTGCAGAGGAAGAGCTGTCTGACGGAATACAGGTTCTCCTATCCACAGAGGGCAGAGATGTGGCCCCTCACTGTCCCCATGGTGAGAACTGGTTACCCCAAAACTGAACATGCTACCCTTCACTGCATCAAAAATAAACAAATACAGGGAATGGGGTCTGATAGGTCATCAAATGTGAAAACTAATAAACACACAAACTAGTGAAAGTTTTTTTTTTGTTTTTTTTTTTAATTAAAACAGCCTAATAGGGAGAACAAGTATTTCCAGGAGGTAAACTTAATTAACTGTACAAATCCCAAACAGATTAGTCTCATCTACCTCCTAACCTGTCAGTGGGGTTGAAGTGTAAGGATTATAATGATATAAGAAACAACCTTAATAGGCTTTCATTGTGTGCTTCACAGGGCGCACTTCACTTTCTGATTGTAAGCTCATGGGCTAACTAAGCACATTGTATAAAAATAGCTTCAAAGGCTAGATCTCAGTTTAAGGGCACTACCCTCTTTGCCTCTTGTATTTCTCTGTGTATATTGTACTTTCTCCCTTAATTGTACAGCGCTGCGGAATATGTTGGCACTTTATAAATGCCAGTGCTAAATAAATAAATGTGGTACACGCTCGCCATGATGCTTGGTTTGTCTCACGATATCATGTAGCGGTTAACAGACAAATGTTGGCTTTCAATGGCATCAGCTCAGTACTTCTCTATAAAGTAGGCACTGTAATCTGGAACTATCATGTAGGTATAGCTTCTATATATCAGTGATTTGGAAGAGACCATAATATTCTGAGGGACTCCTTTTTGTTTTGCCTTTTCTTTGTCCATAATATCATGCTATACTGTAATGACACTGTCTGTGTTTGTAGCAGCGGTAGAAAGAGGATTCAGGCACTCCAAGTAGCTTCAATTAAATTTATTAGCACAAGTGAGACACTGTCTGTGTTTGGTCATTTCTAATTATTCTTTGTGAACACTGTTCATTGTAGGTCCAAGCACTTCCATAATGCTACCTGAACACCTGTATCAGATCACAGTGTAAAATGTATAAATCCATGAGATTCTCTCTCTGATAAAAATGGGTCTGGTAGATTGAATGGATGACTAAGGGTAAACTATAGCCTTGAAGTTCTTTTAAATCTGTTTACATATCTGTATGATTTTGATTATGGCATTTTTTTTATTTATATTTTTACGAGATGAGGAAAGTAAGCCAGGTTAATGAAATCTTAATGATGAGTGTTTTGTCTTGTTGTTACAGGACCAACCCTGCTGTTTGTAAAGGTTTCTCGGGGCAAAGAAGATGGCAGAAAGTTCTATGCATGTTCAGCTTGTAGGGACCGGAAAGACTGCAGATTTTTCCAGTGGGAAGATGAAACGGTACGCATGTTTAATAGATGCTGCATTAACTAATATTTTCAGAATACAAAATGGAGACCCAAACTTTTGTTTTATGCAACATTTATTTATTTAACCTATTTCTGTACATCACCAAGACAGAGAATTGTAAAAACGTATGACAAGGTGTCAGAAACGGATCATGAAAGTACGATCTTGGTATCATAGCTCTAACATTGCCAGCATTTAAATATGTAGAGGGAATTAGAATTTTACACTTAAAGGGACTCTCCAGTGCCAGGAAAACAAATCCGGCAGGCCCCTGCAGTGCCCCCTCCCCGCCACCACCCATCCCATGTTGCTGAAGGGGTTAAAACCCCTTCAGTGATTTACCTTAATCCAGCGCCAATGTCCCTCGGGACTGTCAGGCTCCGCCCACGCTCCTCCCGTCAGAGGGGGAGACCTAATGCGCATGTGCGGCATTATTATGCCCCATTATTCAATGCTTTCCTATGGGGAATCCTGCAACGCTGGAGGTACTCATGCATAGTGTGAGGACGTCCAGCGTCGTTTAAAACACTTTTCGTGTTCTAAGAACCTGGAAGTCCCTCAAGTGGCTGTCTGATAGTTTAAAAAAACTGCAATAATTACTCTTGCAGGATTAAAGGTGATGGAAGTTGTCTCCCAGACCACTCCAATGGGCAGAAGTGGTCTGGGTGCCTGGAGTGTCCCTTGAAGCTTCACTGGATACAAAAAAACACATTAGTTTAAATGGAAATTGTCTCACACGATCTCTCTCCTGGTAAAGGGATTCAAGGTACTTTTGTTAGATGATGTTATTTGGGATTAACCATTTATAGTATTGAAAATACTGTAGGAGAGCCTTGACTTGCTGCTTTTATACATTGACTTGCCACTTTTTTGTATTTACTGGTTTAAATGGAAATTGTCTCACAGGATTTCTCTTCTTCAGGTAAAGGGGTTGAGAATACATTTGGTAGATGATGTTACTTGTGATTAACCATTTGTAGTATTTAATGTTGCGTAGGCTTTTTTTTTTTTAGACCTAAATACAATCTCTCCAATCTTTCATTACTGGACCCTGCTTATTTATTTCTCTCTGATGCAGCTCAGTATATTTGAGTATTTATTTTACTCAGTTGGTTTGTAACCTTTGATGTCATCACTCGTTTGTTACACCTTTGTTTTTTTTCTTTCTTACAAACAGGGTGATTCACTAGTGAGAATTCACTGTCAATTTAAAATTTAAAGCCAAAATAGCTGAACTGGATTAAAGGACCACTATAGTCACCCAGACCACTTCAGCTCAATGAAGTGGACTGGGTGCCAGGTCCCCCAGGTTTTAACCCTGCAGCTGTAATCAGAGCAATTTTAGAGAAACTGCTATGTTTACATTGCAGGATTAATCCAGCCTCTAGTGGCTGTCTTCCTGACAGCCGCTAGAGGCGCTTCCCCAACGCTCAATGCGAAAATCGCATTGAGCACGCAGAACGTCCTCAGGAAAGCATTGAGAAATGCTTTCCTTTGGGCGGTTTTTAATGCGCGCGCGGCTCTGGCCACGAATGCACATTCGGCTCCACTCGAAAGCTGACGTCGGAGGGGGAGGAGAGGTCACCAGCGCTGAGGGAGCCCGGCGGGAGGGGGGCCCTGAGGGTGGGGGGGAACTAAGGATTATATAGTGTCAGGAAAACTAGTTTGTTTTCTTGACACTATAGTCATCCTTTAATTCTCAAATTAAGATATGCTTGCAGCTTGGCTATTTTAGGTCTAAGATGAGAAATACCCCTTCAATTCACTTTGAATTCTCAACAGTTCACACTTTAGTAAATAAGCCTAAAATACTTTTATAATCTCATCGGACATGCCAGTTATCCAAATATTTACTTTTATTTGATAGTTGGTAATCCTTACCTTACTCGCCCCAATTTTTTGTTTTGATTTATTTTTTTCATTAATATTTTTATAATGAATATTTGATTGCAGATTTCACAAGCTAGGCTTCTAGCACGAGAAGAATACAACCAAAGCAGAAAGCCTTCCTTGACCCATGAACAGTATATGTTAAGGTATCTCTATCTGTTCTGCAGTTGGATAAATTGCATTAACAAAGAATGATTTCACGTTTTAAGAATAATTTTGTTTTGTTTATTAAACACTTTTAAGTTTGTCTTTACAGCAAATCAAAATTGTCAGTTTTGCATCATCTACAAATTTCTATTAGGACATTGGGAAAATATCCACCTCGGGCACAACTATTTTGAGACATTTGTCTTGGCTTGACATGCAAATGAACACAGGCAGGCGTTATGATTTAAACGTCATGCTGCATTTCAGCCAGTTCTCATGGCAGTATAGTACTGTTTTACAGTTTTGACATGTAGGTTCACAACCCATGCTCTGGCTTAAAAAAACCTATGTAAATGCTATATGAAGTATGAAACATTATGCCTGTCTGTGCTCGTTTGTGTATTGAGCTGGGAATTCTGGGGGAATTCTAGAATACGGTTTTCTCAGAATCGCTGTGCCCAAGGCAGACTTTTCTTCTTTCCTCAGAAGTCCTCCTGGAGATCTGAAGATGATGCACAGCAGGAAACTTTGAATTTCCATAAAACAGTGGTGATTTTATCATGCTTTGAGCTTACCACAAGTTATTTAGTACTTAGTCATAAATCAATCAAACATACAATACATGTGAGGTTTATTTATTAAACTGGATATTATGAAGAATTAACCATTGAACTATAAATATTTGCCTAAAAGAGACAAACGTAAGCTATTCCCCAACTTAGCTAGTTTTGATGCCCATGTGCTTTAGCCTAAAAATTGCGATTATTTTCCCAACTTGCCATAATTGCAGATTTATAGAATAAATGGACATGGTATTGAATATTATTCCAACACAATGTTATGTGTAGTACATGATTGTGTTATACTATTTTCCTTGTATTATTTTTATAATTGCACATCAGGTTCCAGGAATATATCAGATTACCGTTGGCGAAAAGAAAGTTTTGCAGAGACTGTCAGCAACTTCTTCTGCAGGAGGATTGGGACAATCACTCTGGTCATCATGTGATTGGTGACGTGTCTGTATCCCGGTTAAAGAGACCCAGCCAACTGCTTCATCCCTTGGAAAACAAGAAGACCAACGCACAATATTTGTTTACTGATAGAAGCTGCAAATTCCTCCTGGAAACTATTCGCTCCCTAGGCTTCACAAGAGTGATCTGTATTGGCACTCCCAGGTACGAACTTGTCATCAAACTGCACAATGTAATGTATTTTAGCAAACACCAAATCATCCCACGTCTTCTTTACATCATTGGGTGTAAACTTAAAGAGTGCCAGTTAGAATGCTTGACAAATAGAATGTTTAAAAGTCAAATTATGTTCGTAGCCCAGTAATGAAATAGTCATGATGAGAACTGCATTCGTGTTCAATGCTTGCCTAGCATGACAGTTTGTACTTGGGCTGTACCAATATACAAACACGCACTTAATCCAGTGGGTAAGTGCCAATCTGGAAATTAGGTAAGTATCCTATCAAATATAGTAAATACTCAATATATATAAAGACATAGAGCAGGGTACAGAACAGTGCAAAACTTACATATAAATATATATCCACTAGCCTTATAAGGCTACTCCAATATCAAATAAATAGCTATACACTGGGTTGTATCGTAACCTGTATGATGCTTAGAGTCAGAAGGCTTTATTGTGCAGGCCTATTAGTATAACGCATACCGTATAATCCGAGTTTTTCGGCACATTTTTTGTGCTGAAAAACCCCAACTCGGCTTATACTCGAGTCAGTCTGAATTATGGCAATTTACATTGCCATAATACAGACTAGGACCGCCGGGCTCATTACAAGCCCGGCGGTCCTGTTGGGGGCTGACAGCGAGCTCTTACTTACCTTCCTGCAGCTCCTGTCAGCTCCCTCCTCCTCCGTGCAGCTCCCCGGTCAGCTCCGTTCTGCTCACAGTGTAAGTCTTGCGAGAGAGGGTCTCGCGAGACTTACACTGTAAACAGAACGGAGCTGAGATTGTAAGCTCATGAGCTATCTTGCACAGCACATTGTATTACTAGGACAGATTACAAGTCTTCTGGTAGAATTCTATTCTATAAACCATTTATATCAATATGTCAAATTATATATATATATATATATATATATATATATATATCTGTCTGTAACCTTAAAGGCACACTGTAGGCAATGTAATCATTTCATCTCATTGAATTGATTATAGTGCCTAGAGTCGTCTGGCAATGTACTCCATTCAGTATTAAGCCATGTTTGAGCAGTTTAACACTAAATAAGGGACCCTGGTCACCCAGAAATCGGCATACTTCTAGCCATACCAATTCATACTAGCAATGGGCACTGTGATAGGATGAAAGCGCTCAGCTGACACTCCCAACCAATTATGCTGCCCATTTCTGCTCAGGCCAATGCCTCATCAGCAGCCCAGGCAACACAGAGCAGATGTGCTGGGGACTCTCATTTAGTGTTAAATCATTAAAAACTATTTAACTTTGGATGGAAGGACGGCACAAGGGGATTCCATATACTTATAACCACTTTAATAAAATAAAGCAGCTACTGTGCCTACAGTATGCCTTAAACTAGGATTCACTGCTACATCTTGTAATGTGCCCTGGAAGGGAGCTCCATATAAGAACTGTTTTGTAATATTATTATTATCAGTAAATAAACTGCTAATCCTGTGAAGAGAACTTTCACCAATGAAGTCAGCAGTTATTCCTGTTACTGATTGATCAATTATCAATTTCGTAAGATGTGAGAAGTATATTAGACACGCCCTGGTTGAATTTCTTTAACACTAATGGGTAGTGCTTTCAGCTTCATGCTCACCTTAAAACTCACGTGTCAGCATTGATTGTATTAATTATCTAGTGCTTGCAAGGATTTCACAAGCTACCTATGCATTCAGTGGCAGCATACATAGTGCTTAGTTTTGTGAAAATATTTATTTTGACTGTGTATATAGTAATGAAGGTTTCCGACAGTTTCCGTGGAAAGTCATTACTGCAACAGCATTCAAGGCTCACTCTGACTTCTTCTGAGATCATCTTATCTAATGCTGCTTTAGGGGGGATTTAAAGGGAAACTCTATGCACCAGAACCACTGCAGCTTAATGTAGTTATGTGACAAAGATACTGTTCCAGCAGGAACGGCAGTATAAACACTGCCTTTTATGAAAAGCCAGTGTTTACACTGCTGCCTAATGCCTCTAGCTGTCACTCAGACAGCCACTAGAGGCGCTTCCTTGATGTGGCCCTGCATCTCCATTCACTGCATGGAATCAATGCACCTCTAAGAGGAGATTCTGATTGGTGCAACATTGTGGTTGCTGCTCATGCGCACTAGCCTCCCAATGCTACCCCATTGGATTGATTTAGATCAAGGATGATCCTTAAACAGAGGACAAGTGGTGGCCATGGAGAGACCAGCACCTGGAGAAATAAGTTAAGTACATCTATTTTATTAAGGGGGGGCTGTATAACTAAAAAGTTAGAATAGCACTCTAGTGTTAGGAATATGTTTTTATGTATTACTAACGCTAGAGTATTCCTTTAACAGTGTTCGGCATCATCAGGAAGCAAAATGTGAACAGTTTCAGAAAACCAAGGCATTCTTATTGACACTCACTAGAGACATTTTGAATGACAATTGTTCCATTAAGGCACCAAGAGTATTATGTTAAAGGACCACTATAGTGCCAGAAAAACATACTTGTTTTCCTGGCACTATAGCTCCCTGAGGGTGCCCCCACCTTCAGGGACCCCCTCCCGCCCGGCTCTGGGGAGAGGAAAGGGGTAAAAACTTACCTTTCTCCAGCGCTGGGCGGGGAGCTCTTCTCCACCGATGAAGTCCCCCTGCTGGCTGAATTCAAATAAAATAATGTTAAAATAAGTGTAGACAGCCGCTAGAGGAATTGGAGGAAGGATTAACCCATTTATAAACATAGTAGTATGTTTATAAAAAAATGGGTTAACCCCAGCTGGACCTTGCACACAGACCACCTCATTAAGCTGAAGTAGTCTGGGTGCCTAGAGTGGTCCTTTAAGCTGTATGTTTATGATGCTTACTGTCCCTTTAAGGAAAATTTAAATATGCAACTCATTAGACAGTCACTTTGAGAAACCCACTGCATAAGAATAGAATTATTTGAATAAAATTAGTGTTATCAATTTGACAGATTTCCTCTGCTGTATAAATTTCCTGTTACTAATGTGACTGTTTCTGCCTTATTTCTGTGTGATATTTTAGGCTACATGAGTGGATTAGACTCCAAACCCATGAAGAATCAGGACTTAAAGTTAAAAGTCTCTTGCTAGACATTGACTTCAGGTGAGTGTATATTTAAAGGACTATTCTACAAACCTGTGATGTAACATTGAATTAAGGTTCCTGGCTGCCCACAGCCCAGCTTCCACTGCAGATATGGTAACGGCAGACTCTATTCTTTAGCCATACAACGTCATAACAGCAATGGACCGACCGCTGTGATAGGCTGTGAGCAGTCTGCGGACACCCTCAACTGTGACCCATTGATTTCAGGCTAGTACTTCCTCATTAGCCCAACCAGCATAGAGAGAATGGGCTGCTGTTTAGCATTAAACCAATAAAAACAGTTTTACATTGAACGAAGGCACAGCACCATGGGATTCCAGTCACTATAACCACTTCAATCATACTATGCAGTTAAAGTACCTTGAGTGTCCCTTTAACCCTGTTATTATTGCAGTGTCTGAAAGAAATAGCTGCGAGTGTCGCTTTTAAAATTTTGCTATCTATATATTTCTGATTCTTTTTTTTTTTTTATTTCATTTTTTTGTTATTTAACCCCTTAAGACCGAAGGGCGTACTATTCCGCCCTATTTCAGGCGGCTCTAAATGCCGCCGGGCGTAATAGTACGCCCTCCGTTTTTTTTTTTTTTTACTTACCCAGCGATCGCGGTTGGGGGGACTCCCACGGAGCCCCATGCAGCACATCCGACCTCCTGCAACCCCTCACAATCACATGGCCGTGTTAGCTGGCTGCTACATTGCCAGCAGGGGGACTGCCTGTAATTACAGTTAGTCACCCTGCTGGCTGAATTCCAATAAAATAATGTTAAAATAAGTGTAAAAAAAAAATAATTTATATACTTAGATCATATATATATATATATATATATATATATATAAATATTGTTATATATTTATATATAATATAAAAAAAATGTAAATACATTAAAAAATAAAATTAAAAAAATAATAAAAAATAAATATAGATGTGTGTTATTTCTTTCTAACTGTATTGTGATATTAATATATATATATTTATATCAAAATACACGTTGAACGAAATAATATATGTATCTATATACATAAATATATACGTATATATCACTATGTAAATAAAAATATTAAAAAAATTATATATATTAATTCTACATATATATTTATGTAATATTTTTACATAATTAGGTATCTTAATTACAATTAGCGGGACCTGCCTGACAACCCATGCCGAAAGTAAAGGGAATTTAATTTGCTAGCACTATATTTAACCCTATAACTTTCCGAGACACCATAAAACCTGTACATGGGGGGTGTACTGTTCTACTCGGGAGACTTCGCTGAACACAAATATTAGTGTTTCAAAACAGTAAAATGTATTACAACGATGATATCGCCAGAAAAAGTTATGTTTTTTGAAGTTTTCATGCACAAACAGCACTTACATGGACGATATTATTGCTGTGATACTTTTTACTGTTTTGAAACACAAATATTTGTGTTCAGCGAAGTCTCCCGAGTACAACAGTACCCCTCATGTACAGGTTTTATGGTGTTTTCAAAAGTTACAGCGTCAAGTATAAGGCTTGTGTTTCATTTTTTTCACATTAAAATTCGCCAGATTGGTTACGTTGCCTTTGAGACCCTATAATAGCCCAAGACTAAAAATTACCCCTATGATGGTATACCATTTGCAATAGTAGACAACCCAAGGTATTGCAAACGGGGTATGTCCAGTCTTTTTTAGTAGCCATCTAGTCACAAACACTGGCCAAAATTGGCGTTTTTTGCATTTTTCACACACAAACAAATAATAACGCTAACTTTGGCCACTGTTTGTGACCAAATGGCTACTAAAAAAGACTGGACATACCCCATTTGCAATACCCTGGGTTGTCTACTATTGCAAATGGTAGGCCATTATGGGTGTAAATTAAATTCCTGGGCTACTATACAGTCCCAAAGGCAACGTAACCAATCTGGCGAATTTCAATTTCAAATGTAACATGCTATATTTGACCCTGTAACTTCCCAAAACGCCATAAAACCTGTACATAGGGAGTACTGTTTTACACGTGAGACTTTGCTGAATACAAATATGTGTGTTTTATTGCAGTGAAAGCAAACAGTATTATGACATTGACAGGTAGAATGTCATGTAGAACTAAAAAAAAAATTTTTTTTTTTATTTTCTCCCATTTTTTCATATTATATTAAGTTTCATAGCTAAATATTTGATATTAAAGGAAAACCCTGTTTCCCCTGAATAAAATTATATATAATAAGGGTGGGTGCATTTAATATGAAAGAGGTGAATTACGGTTCGACAGACATGTAGCGCAAATGCCAGGTTTTGTTTACATTATGTTTTGTTCACAACGTGTACATTTGGCTCAGTCCTTAAGGGGTTAATTCCACTTGGATAATTATCCAAGGATAGTTAAAATGTTGCTCTACAATTTTTGATTATGCATCAGTTCACATGGGCACCTGCTAATTAGCACTGCTGGCCACAGTTACAGAATGACTGTCTCTCAGGTTTTGAGAGCAGCTGATGAATGTATCACCTTTAATGACAATCTGTGCCATATGTGTGAAAGGCAGCCGGCTGTGTTATATTTCATGCTGGCAGAGGGGGTTGAAAGCTGAAAAAATAATGCTGATATTCTTCATTTTAATAGGAAATCAAATACCTATTGCTGCAACTAGCTTGAAAGGTCCCTTTTAATAAGACAGTTTGCGTTCTTACATTGAGATCACTCAGCTTTATAATCTGTTATGCACCAGAGCAGCGTTTCCCAAACCAGTCCTCAAGACCCACCAACAGTCCAGGTTTTGTTAGTATCTCCATTGGAATAAAACAGGCAAACACATAAATCCTGGACTGTTGGTCGGCCATTAGGACTGGTTTGGGAACCACTGCACCAGAGGGTTTGCAACTAGTTAAAACTCCTCTAAATATGTTGTGCTACATTATTTCTGTCTGTATGTGTATTGCATTAATATGATCTTTCCAAGCGACATTTCCCATGGTGCTCAGCCACCCTCTTAGCTGTCTGAGATTCTAGTGATGGTAGTTCAGAAATATTTGGTAGTGCAACGCTACTACTGAGGATGCTTAGCATTGTATTGAAACAACAAAAGAAGAAATAAAAAAAAAATTATATAGTGATTATATAATTGCAATCACTATATAATTTACAAAAATTTAGTTGCGTTATAGGTTACTTTTGTATTATAAATTAAATTACATATCTATAATACGAATAAAATACAGGTGTTCTGTGCTGATGTTCATTTCTATTACATAGAACATATACAGTGCTCCCACTTTTCCTTTGTTTGTCATTGTTTAATTGTGCTGTATTTTACATACTTATCATTTGATAGTTTTTACTTTTTTGTATTAATACCGTTGATAACAGATTTCCCAGGCAATTTCAGCCTTTAACAGATACACTGAATATTAATATTTTGGCTAGTGCAGAAATGTAATCCATGTACTACTAGGTTTGGACACTGTGAATACCTGAGCTGTCTTGGTTTGTATATTCTCTCATTAAAGGAACATTCCAAACACCATAGCCAACTCCCCAGGGTGCCATGCTCTATCTGGTTGTCTGTCACTGCTTAGTAAAGCCTGGCCAATGTAGAGCCTCTCGCAGATTGGATGAGAGCGCTTGCAGCCAGTGGATGTGATTCTGCATGGCACTGCTTATCTCTGTAGAGCGGGACCTTGGTAAATTTTTCAGACTGTACTAAAACAGTTTGTTAGCACCATAACTACTATAGATGATTACCTAGTGAACCAATTAGTAAATCACAAGTGTGGCTTGAATCTCCTATCCTGAATCCGTATTGATGTTCCCTTGTCTACACATGTTCAAACAGTTGAATCTTTAAAGCAATGACTGGCACGGGTGCAGTAGGTTGGCGTATGGATTAATGTACCTTTCACAGTGCGTTCCATTCCCTTGATGTAGAGTGTTTCATTTCCAAATACTGAAGCCATCTGTTTTGCAGGTATTCCCAGTTCTACAGTGAGGAGGAATTCTGTCATTACAACATGTTTAACCATCATTTTTTTGGTGGCGAGGTAGGAATAAGTCTTGTGTTCTTTTCAGTCTACAGTTTATTAAAGCTTTTTGTTACCAGTGCAGAGGGGAGCACATAATAAAAATAGTGACACATGTACATTACTGTTAATAAGCACAACATAAGGGAAATGTAATTTAAACATTTTTTTTTTTTTTTTTTAAATGATGTGCTGTTTGGCTATTTTGGACATATTTGGTTCCTTGACATGTTACCATAACTCACTGTTCAGTAATTTAATCACGGGGCAGTAAAATACCCACAATGTATTTCAGGCATCACAGAGCAAGTGTAAAAAATTTCTTCAAGAAGATAACGGTGATGGTGTCATCATGGTGACGGACCCTCCTTTTGGTGGCTTAGTGGAACCTCTTGCCTTCAGCTTTAAAATGTTAAGGGAGATGCACAATGGAGCTTCTGCCACAGGTAGGTGTGTGTTTTTCCTTTCCAATTTGGGTTTCATTTATTTTATAAAGTACAAACAGTGCAAGTATTCAGTCTTAGTACTTGTGTCAAAAGTTATACAAATGGTTAGTGATAAGCGAACATATATTTCATGAACAGTTAATTTGAGGGGAGGGCGAATACAAATTGATCACAATTTGAGGGTGGCTGTAAAGAATATGGTTCCATTCAAACTTATCAAAGTTATATTTTGGAGAACTTTTGATAATATCATGAAATATCATATCGACTATTTAGAAGTCTTGCCTAGAGTTTACGTAGGTGATATGTTAGGTTAATATTACAGTATGTTAGCCGATTCTGTGTAGGTTTCCTCTTCCTGACAATGCATAAACCATATGAGAGTACATCATTTCAATATGTATAGGTACTAACACATTCATTGGACAATACATTGAAGGCCTTGAGACCACGAGCATAGCTGGTTGACTTCTTTGGTAAGTGGCCGACATGGCCCCAATTGGGGAGGTATCTATTATGTCTAACATTGTCTCCACATATCCCATGCAGTAGCTGATCGTGGAGCATGTTTTCATAGCTGAGAATTCCTATTCCATTGTTTGGGAAATGTGAATAGAGATCTCTTGCAAGCAAGGAACACTATGGTGGCCCACTAGGGTACAACAAAATCAGATATTTAACTGGTTTGGGGTATGATAACTGAAATATGAATCGTAGGAGACATTAAGGGGTATTGGGGATAAGAATTCCTATTTTAAGCGAACAAGGAAAAGTATATTCAACCAATATGAGTGGAGTTTGGGACATCCCCACTAAAAATGCAGCATTGTGCTTTTCTCTTGTGAGCATCTCCAGCATTTATTTGTTTTAGTAGGGCACATAGCTGCCAGTCTAGTAGTTATTATGTACCATTTATATAGGATTTTATGGATAATTTATACAGAGAGTAAGGCCCTTGTGTATACTTTTATATAAACATCTGGTTTTAAAAGTAAATGTAGAGTGGTGATGAATTGGGTAATGTTTGACTCCAAAACTTGGTACTTTATGTCAATGTGTTTCTTGGAGGCAGAGAATTTCTGCTGAGGATCTGTGTGCATCTTTAACATGTCTTTTTTTTTATAGGGTATATTGAGCCCTGTAACATTATGAGAGTAGATTTTCATCTTAAAATTTTTTGGTGTTTAACCTATACTGGCATAAGACCGTTTCTGTTTGCGGTGTCCCTCGATGGCAGGGCACCACTCTGCCAAGTACGCTTTGTAAAATTGAACGCTCTTTATATAGCAATGTTCTCCTTCTGGGTAGCTTAGCGGCAAGTGCTCATGCCCAGACACAGTACAGTACTACCAGGTGTCAGCAGGTCTCTCTCTTAACTTTTATATGTGTCAAATGTTATCCTGTTGTAGGGAAGACAGCTGACTATACTAGAGTTTGTTGTATCATGATGTTGAGGTGGCATAATGCCGATAGGGAAGAAAAGCTGGGGGAAACAAAACCATATAACAAAAAAAGCTAAACAAAGCATATACAACATGACCAGTAGTGATTTAATTGTTATGTGCCTGGTGGAACATGGCGGTTATGTCCGTGGGTGTAGTGAGGTCTTAGACTGGCATAATGTAGTTGGTAGTAACGCATTATTAATGCTTGTGACAGCTTGCAAAGGAAAGCAATATGAATATTTGCGAGAGAGTGATATGCTGAGTACACCGTACAAAGTACAAGTAATATAAGAGCATATTTTGTTGCCATTCGAACTTTATATAGGCATCAATTCTATAAACATACTTGAATATAAACCATATTAAATAGACAAACATAGAAACTGTATGTAAAAGGCAAAGTGTGACAACTTTGTACTTGCCCTTGTAAACACGGTCATTTAGTTATAGCCTTCCATTCTTTTTGGGAGAAGCTGCAGACTTTTTGTGTTTTGGCAGATGGTAAGTCCCATCTTTGTAACAGGTGGAGACCTTCATCTGTATTCTGAATCACAGAGATTTTTTTGCCTGTGTTGCAGAGCTTAAAGGGACACTATAGTCACCTGAACAACTTCAGCTTAATGAGGTTGTTCAGGTGAGAACTATAGCTCCCTGTGGCCTTTCTCATGTAAACACTGTACTCGGATCTGCTGTCAGCAGAGCACAGGGCAGCACTGTGCACAGCATACTGTGATTCTATGTCTCCTCCCTCTGCATGCAGACACTGAACTTTCCTCATAGAGATTCATTGATTCAATTCATCTCTATGAGGATATGCTGATTGGCCAGGGCTGTGTTTGAATCATGCTGGCTCTGCCCCTGATCTGCCTCCTTGTCAGTCTCAGCCAATCCTATGGGGAAGCACTGTGATTGGATCAGGCTACCACTGCTTGTTTTTCTGAGTCTAACAGCATGCTGATTTACAGCTTCAGGCTTGAATACAGTACGATTTTTACTATATTTATGGAGGCATGAGGGGCCCAGGGGGGGCTAGATGGTGGTGTTAACACTATAGGTTCAGGAATACATGTTTGTGTTCCTGACCCTATAGTGATCCTTTAACCCCTTAAGGACACATGACATGTGTGACATGTCACGGTTCCCTTTTATTCCAGAAGTTTGGTCCTTAAGGGGTTAAGCTCATGCGGCCATTTTCCACGGCGTCCAGTAACGCCCCCCCAGTGTGTGTTTTTAATGCATGTGATGGTTTATTTGTAATATTAATTTCCTCTCCTTGCCTGCTTTATTAGCATTTTACAGAATTTGTGTAATTGTACTGTTATCCATAGGCTGTGTGACCTCTTCTAACGGACATTTCCCCTGGTGATCTGGTATTTATGTAAAATATTCTTCTTCTTGTCTTTAGGTAGCTTTAAAAAGTTACCCATTTTCTGGATCTTCCCATATTTCTTTGAATCTCGCATTGTGCAGTGTTTTCCAGAGTTCACCATGCTGGATTATCAGGTACTCTGTTTTGGTCATGTCCATTATTATCCCTCTTGATATATTGTCCTTATTTCCTCTTGCTAAATTGAACAGCATAGATCTTGCACTCTGAATTTTAAATATCTCATAGCACAAACATATAACAAAAGTCACATTTCAAAGTTTCATACTGTGTGCATGCTTGAGTTGTCTATAATAACTGCATTGCTTTCAGGTAGACTACGATAACCATTCTCTTTATAAACATGGGAAGACCGGGAGAAAACAATCGCCTGTACGCATTTTCACAGATATTCCACCAGAGAGTATTGTGCTCCCGGGAAGTGAGGGTTATAGGTATGATCAATAATACAATCTCTTCTTTGGCCTATGCTGTTTCTGACCTCTGCTCTTAGGCACAGACAATATGAATATTCCAGTCATGGCTGACTCACATCAGAGATAAGACTAATATAGCTTGAAACGTCCTGAGTTATATAGCATGGCACGGTCATACAAGTGTAGAATCCTAAACCCTGTAAACACAGTCATTTTAATATTCATCTAGGATAGGTCTGTGTCTATCGTTTAATTACAATGTAGGTGTATATCATTGTTAATCTTTTTTTTCCTTGTCAATCTAGGTTTTGTTCTCTGTGTAAAAGATTTGTGTCGTCTGCCAATAAACACTGTGATGTCTGCAATTCTTGTACCTCCAAAGTAAATACCACATTTTCGTATTTCTATCTTTCAAAAAAAAAAAATTTTATAACCTCTTTCCTGATGTGCTGATCCGGTTAAAAAAAAAAAAAAAATGGGCCAAGTGCTTCCGCTAGAATCTGTCTTTATGTGGTTGTATGTTTATATGATTAGTGAGAAGCAGCCTAATTCCTTCATTTGTCCTTTCTGATGTATTTGGAAGGTATGAATGGCTTGTATATTTTAAACAATTCTATTTGGCACTAACACAAGTGCCACATTGTCTTCAAAACACTTTGTACAGGACAAATGTCTCGGTGCCTCAAGATATGCAGGATAACAGTCATGGCTGCCTATAGCCTGAAAATCATATTGATATATATAATACTACCTGGCATCTCCTGATTGACATTATTTGAACTCTCCCATTGTAACGGATAAGTGTTGTCCTTTGATGGCTCTTATCAAGTTATTACTGCCCCCCTCACTCCTCTGTAGGTGGATGAAGAAGTGCACTGAGTTTTACTGCTAGTTAGCATAGCTGCCTATATAAACTGAGGATTTATGGCATAGCCCTAGAAAAACATGATTAGTGGAGTTTTTGAATTTAGTGATATAGATCTACAAAATGATTTTCATTTAGTAGACATACCACTCTACACTTACCCTAGCATTAATAAAGGATTTCCCCATATAAATCAACATTGGTTATAAGTGAGGGTATTGTCTCTCAGATTCCCTTTGTAAGTGTTGTTCACCAATGTTATTAGGTGTTATTTGGGGATTTCTTAACTTTAATTGTATGCTCCAATTCCTAAGGGTCATCCAACGCTTTTCTGTTCCTTCTCTTTGGAACATTTTTATATTGTCACATAAACTTACACATAATTACGAAAGACATCTCATTTAAACAAACATACTTCGTTCTTGTCTCACCGCTCCCAATGCTCATTCAGTGTATCCTTTTCTGGTAACACTTCCACTCATCAACCTGCCTCAGCTGGGGTCCCTCAAGGCTCTGTTTTCCCCCTTTACTGCCTCTCTTGGCAAATTTCTGAGTTCCTTTGATTTCCAGTGCCACTTATATGCCGATGGAACCCAGATTTACCTCTCACCCCGATCTCTCTCCTGCTTTTCATTAAACGTGTCACCAGCTTCCTCGCTTTCATCTCAAATGGATGTCTTCCTGTTTCCTATGAATCAATCTTTCTACCAATAAGCTTCTTATCTCCCCTCCTTATTAATCAGATGCTCCCCTGGCACTCACCCTAGTAGGCAATGATACGTACACCTGTCATTTAAATTTGCTGCCTTGTTAATATCTTTGACACTGGCCACACTTTTACACCCCATGCCCAGTCCTTTGCAAAATCCTGTCATTTCCACCTAAAAACATAATCTGACCGTACTGATATCAAGACAAAAGACAATTGATACTCAGATTAAACAAATTTCTGCACATGTGTAGTTATAGTTTCTGTAGCATCTGCTTCTGATCTGTCACTAAAATATTTTCTGTTTTATGGTTTTTTTATTTTCTAAGTATGGTTTTTATCCCTCCCATTTAACTTTAGTCTGAGAAATGTCTCAGTTGCTCAATGCAAGCACTATAGAGCCTGACCAAACCCTGAGTGTTATATGTTCTGTTCCTAACAGGGCAGCTCATTCTCACCTCTTTACAAAGTTGAGTAACGGTAAAATTTTAATCAGAGAAGCCGGAGAGTGTGCACCAAGTAGTTTAAATGCTGTGAAGAATAACTCCCAAGATGCTTTCTTTTTTTGTGATTCTAGTATGTTTATTCAGTGGTTGTATAAACTGCTAATGGTCACTATTCTTGGCCTACAGGACGGCAGGGGATGGAAACACTGTTATCTGTGCAAGAAATGTGTGAAGCCATGTGAGTATGGATCTGCAGCTTTATTTATGTTGTACAAAAAAAGAAAACAGTGAAAAAAAGGCAAATATTACTTTCACTGTTTAATATAAATTGCCTGGAATATTTTGAATAAACCCTTTGGCACCCACAGAGACCACTACCTAATTTACCATATTCCAAGTGATAGTTGCCCATTCCTCTGTCAATGAATAAGCAAAACTGAAAAGGTGAAAAAACCCAAAATGCAGCCCCAAAAAACAGCCCCCTCCTCCAAAAAACAAACCCCAAAAAACACCCCCCAACAACAAAAAACAAACCACAAACAAACCCCAAAAGTGCAGTACCAAAAAACAAAACAGTTTTCTGTATATTATTTTAGCCATAATTGTATTGTAATGCCATGTCTTGCATTATAGGGATCTGTTTGGTGGCTAATACTGCCTTATGTCTAGCTGGGTAGATCTTAATGTTTATGTTTCTCAATGTCTGATATTTGAGTTTATTTGTTTTTGTACATTTTTCTTTATTGGTTTGTTTTTTCCAAGAGTAATTAGAGATACAGAAATAAGAAATAGATGAGCATTTAAACAATAATGGTATGGTACATAAATTCAAATGAGTACATCCCTCATCAGTTTTCACCTAGCAAAATGTACATAATGGTTTTTGGGTCATAGTGTACATTCTTACGTCAGTGAAAGGAGCTATTTCTCATGACCACAAATTATCCTGTTCTCTGAGGCCCACTGTGCGCTGCCTTTGGAAGGTAGTTGAAGTATACAGGTATTATAATTCCAAATTACTGCTAAAGTGCCCATTCCCTTCATGTTAGGGTTCCCCATGCCATTTTCCCATGTGTGTTTCTTTCGTTTGCCAGGAGTCCCGGTGCTGTGTGGCTCATGGGAGTAGTCTGTCTCTCTCAGCTAAGTCTTTCCTGTTGTCTCCCCATGTTGTCTTTCATATGGATTATTCCCCTAAGAGATGGCATGGGATTATATCCATCCTGCATGAGTGTGGTGTGGATACCTCCAATCTGTGTACCCTAAAGAATAGCCCCTAGCGCGAGTCTGAGGCGTACATCGCCCACGCTTCCTGTAATCTAGGCGCACGAAGGAAGAGCGAAAAATTGTGCTGGTTTCATTTATCTGTTTAATAATATAGGTGTGTCAGCTGTGGCTTGAGGGACAGAAAAGGCGGATGAACACTATTAGGTAAGTTTAGTATGTTAGATCCGCTATACGTACAAGGGAGAGGGGGGATAGGGGAATTTTTTTTTAATTTTTTAAAGGGGGGAGGTTAAAGTATAGAAAATAGGTAGGGGGACAGGTTGGATTGTGTGCCCCCAGTCCGGCAGGTCATCCCTGCCCACCTCATTTCGAGCACGCTCAGAGCCAGATGTTCCCCTCATTTTACTCAGTGGGTTGGTTTCCATGTTCATCCCTGGTGCACAGGTAGTACGTCCATGTCCTCCAGATCTCTTCATGTTTCTCCATCCTTCCTCTCACCGCTGCTATTTCTGCTTCCACCTGCCTGATCTCCTCCACTCTTTGGAGCCAGGCCTGGAACGTTGGTGGTTCTCTCTGCCGCCACATAACTGGGCTGATATTATAAGTTAATATCCATGTTATGGATGTGAATTTATGAAAACCTTGGTTTTCATTGTATCTTTGGTATTTTGTTTCAATATAACAGATTTCCTAGGCGCAGAGGTAATGCACCTTTTTAGCATTTTTATTCTTACAGCTTCTGTATCAGCTAGTGGTATTGTAAATTATCTTCCTCAATGTGTATTACCAACCTTTTGACCTCAGTGATAACATGTGTAATTTTTAGTAAGCGTTAGCATTAAAGGGACACTATAGTCAACATATAAAAGCTTGCTTGCTTTTATATGAACTTGACGTAAAAAAATATGAGTAAGTTTCAATAATAAAACTTACCTCCATTCCAGCGCCGAGCTCCCCGCTAGGCCACACCCCCTTTTTTGTCAAAATGACGAAATCGCATGGCCCAATAGGACGCTTCTTCTTGAGAAGGATCATCGCGATGTGGTACGCATGCGCGGTTTCGCGCTGCACCAATCGCATTCTTCATAGAGCGGCATTGAATGCCGCCCCATTGAAGAAACTCAGTGCTCGACCATGCATTTGCGCGGAATGCACGTTTGCGAGCTGAGCTGTCTGACTGACAGCTCAGCTCGCTTTCTATACCCGCCCCCCTCCTCAGCCAAACTGTGTTTGCATAGAAACACTATATATAGAGATATCTCTATATATAGTGTTTCTATGCAAACACACAAGTAGTAAAAAATTAGACCTACACACACACTCTTTCTCCATCCCCATCATCCATATCCATCCCCATCATCCATATCCATCCCCATCATCCATATCCATCCCCATCATCCATATCCATCCCCATCATCCATATCCATCCCCATGTATTCCCATCATCCATCCATATCCATTCCCATCATCCATATCCATCATTCATCCATCCATTCCCATCATTCATCCATTCCCATCATCCATATCATCCATTCCTATTATCCATCCATCCATCCCCATCATCCATATCCATCCATTCCCATCATCCATATCCATATCATCCACTCCCATCATCCATATCCATCCATTCCCATTATCCATTTCCATCATCCATATCCATCCACTCCCATCATCCATATTCATCCACTCCCATCGTCCATATCCATCCATCCATCCACTGCCATCATCCATATCATCCATCCACTCCCATCATCCATATCCATCCATCCAATCCCATCATCCATGCACTCCCATCATCCATATCCATCCACTTCCGTCATCCATATCCATCCTCACCCACTCACCCTCAGTCACCCACCCACACTCAGGGCCGCCATCAGGGGGTGACAACCATGACGGTTGTCGGGGGCCCGGCCGTCCGGGCCCCACGTGTATCAGCGGAACTGCCGCCGGTGCATCTGCACCGGGGCCCACACGCTGTTGGGGCCCATCAGGTGGCCCAATGGGCCCTATTATCTTCAGGGGCCCGGACAGCGCTGTAACAGCGCGACCGGGCCCCTTTAAAAAAAAAAAAAAAAAAATGCAGCTGGAAAGCAAGTGCTGCTGGGAGGAAGTGACCGGACGTCACTTCCTGCCAGCAGCAGTTACTTTCCAGCGGTTTACTCTGCGCAGTAAGGCAGAGAGAAAGCATGAAGGCCGCGAGGAGAGGCAGCCAACTCACATCATCCCCAGCCACCCTCCTGCGACGAAATGGAAAGGCTGAAAATGAGGTATGTGTGTGTGTGTATATGTATGTGTGTGTATGCCAGTGTGTGTGTGTATGTGTGTATGCCAGTGTGTGTGTGTATGTGTGTATGCCAGTGTGTGTGTGTATGTGTGTATGCCAGTGTGTGTATGTATGTGTGTATGCCAGTGTGTGTATGTATGTGTGTATGCCAGTGTGTGTATGTATGTGTGTATGCCAGTGTGTGTGTGTGTGTATGCCAGTGTGTGTGTGTGTGTATGTATGTATACCAGTGTGTGTGTGTATGTATGTATACCAGTGTGTGTGTGTGTGTATGTATGTATACCAGTGTGTGTGTGTGTGTATGTATGTATACCAGTGTGTGTGTGTGTGTGTGTATATACAGTGTGTGTGTGTGTGTGTGTGTGTGTATGTATGTACCAGTGTGTGTATGTATGTATACCAGTGTGTGTATGTATATACCAGTGTGTGTATGTATGTATACCAGTGTGTGTATGTATGTATACCAGTGTGTGTATGTATGTATACCAGTGTGTGTATGTATGTATACCAGTGTGTGTATGTATACCAGTGTGTGTATGTATGTACCAGTGTGTGTATGTATGTATACCAGTGTGTGTATGTATGTATACCAGTGTGTGTGTATGTGTATGTATGTATACCAGTGTGTGTGTGTGTATGTATGTATACCAGTGTGTGTGTGTGTATGTATGTATACCTGTGTGTGTGTGTATGTATGTATACCAGTGTGTGTGTATGTATGTATACCTGTGTGTGTGTGTGTGTGTATGTATGTATGCCAGTGTGTGTGTGTATGTATGCCACTGTGTGCGTGTATGTATGTATACCAGTGTGTGTGTGTGTGTGTGTATGTATACATGTGTGTATGCCAGCCAGTGTATGTATGTGTGTATGTATGTATGCCAGTGTGTGTCTGTATTTAGTATGCCAGTGTGTGTCTGTATGTATGTATGCCAGTGTGTGTCTGTATGTATGTATGCATGCCAGTATGTGTATGTATGAATGGCTGTATGTATGTATATATCAGTATGTGTATGTATGTATGTTTGTCAGTATGTCTGCATGTATGTGTGTGTGTGTCACTATCTCCCTATGCATGTGTGTATGTCTGTTTCAGTATTTGTATCTGTTAGTGTGTGTATTCACTTGGGCGGGATTTGGAGGCAGGCCCTGTGGGCGGGCTTGAAGCGGGGCCCAGACCTTGAGCTGTGTTAGGGGTCCCAGAATTTCTGATGGCGGCCCTGCCCACACTCACTAAATAAGTTTACTTACAGTTTGAATCCTCCCCTCCTCCTCTTCGGTCTTCAGTCTGTCAGCTCAAGCCACTCCCATGCAGTGCTGACAGCCTCAGCACACAAAGCTCGTGCACAGTGCTTTGTGTGCTGATAGCACATGACAACCGTCATGGTTGTCACCCCCTGATGGCGGCCCTGAGTGTGGGTGGGTGACTGAGGGTGAGTGGGTGAGGATGGATGATGGGAGTGGATGGATATGGATGACGGAAGTGGATGGATATGGATGATGGGAGTGCATGGATTTGGGTATGGATGATGGGAGTGGATGGATGGATATGGATGATGGGAGTGGATGGATGGATATGGATGATGGCAGTGGATGGATGGATGGATATGGACGATGGGAGTGGATGAATTCACCCATGCGTGAATACATCAGACTTGAATGAAGCCTTTTTAGGTCTTCTGAACTCGGAAGTCCCTCTGGTGGCCTTCTGATTGACTGCAACAAGAGGTGTTTCAAGCTTCCAATGTAAACGCTGTATTTTCTCAGAAAATACAGTGCTTACAAGAAAAAGGCTGCAGGGAGCTGTAGCACTCACCTGAACAACCTCATTAAGCTGAAGTTGTTCAGGTGACTATAGTGTCCCTTTAAATTTGTGATTCACACAAATCACCCATTTTTTTAACACCCCTTACGTAACACCCCTTAGCACTCTATTCCACAGTACAGGCATACCCCGCTTTACATACACTTACTTTACATACACTCGCGAGTACAGACATACCTGAGAGTGTACTTAAAGGTGCCTCGTGAGAACAGACATTTCTGCGCCTCTTCTGTTTGTGAGTGAACAGTAAATAGAAGGTTCTATTCTCACTCTGAGCAGCTCAGTTCAGTGTCATTGGGGCAAGAACTTTTCACACTTTCTGACATGGCACAGGTTAATCATCTCAAATTTATAATGCCTTCTCCTAGCTGAACAGATGTATATTTTTTTCTGCCCATACATTGTCCATATTCTGCAAATGGCTGCCATCCAGTGAATAGGTTTACCCATCCAGTGAAAGGGTTTAACCTGCCATTTTCTATAACTATGACTTAGCAGCTTAGCTGCATTAGCCACAATTCTGAGGATTCAAAGTTAAACCATAAATGCTTAAAGTGATGAAGCAAAGTGTGCAACTAAGCTGCTAACAAATACAAATTGTCACTGTATTGGCAGAAAATGGCCCAGTGGGCAGGTTTATTTTACTTTTCCTCCCAGTTTAAGGTTGTCAGATGAGTAAAACATTAAGGATAAATGGTACAATCTGGAATTAGATTTTTTTTTTTTTTTTTTTTACGGTTTGTTTTTAACTGAATAAAAGCCCACTGGAAATAAAATCACTGAAAATCTGCAGTTGCAGTATCAGCTATGCCTGTAAATTACTATTGCAATGCAGTACATGCATTGGGAAGTGAAAAAAGGTATTGCTTCACTTTAAGTACATTTTCGTTTTTTCATAGATGCTCTGGTCCCATTGTGTACTTAACAATGGTGTATGCCTGTATATGCCTTACTTTCTATTGCATTACATTGTATATTTTTTTTGCTGTATTTTTAGTCTGGGTTCTGTGCTATAATCTTTTACCAGTTAAGGACCAAACATTACTTTGTCATTGTGCCATTTGGGTCTCAAAATATCATTTGTCAGCAAGCCCTGCTACTTTAGCTGTAGGACATCCATGCCCATTGTTTGTCATTGGTTGGATGTGACATTCATTTTTTTAAGTGGGAAAAGATTATGATTTTATGAGCCATCTTTAGTCCTTTTGGGGTTTAATTTCATAAAAGTAATTAATTAAGGCTCTTCAGGCAGACTGGATGTAGGCCTATCCTTTTAGGTAATTTATGCTAAAACCACATGGATTGAGACCTCACAGTAGGCAACCGAATTCTGGTTGTTGTAGGTAATGATTGTTTTAGTGCTTAATGCTATGAAGTGTGTCAGCATTAAGTGGCCTCTTTAAATGATTCCCTTTTTACCCTGAGAGAGAGGAATTGGCAACTACCCAACTACCCAAGCAAACAGTGATATAAGGTACAAGTCAAGAGATTTTTCCCTTCCTGGAGTGTTCACCTCACAGGTGGAACTTTCATGGACCACATAAGCACAGGAACCAGCCATGCAGCTTATTCAACTTTTTTTCTCCTTGACAACCAAAGGCTTTAACAATGTTCTACTATAGTTCACTGCATGGCTTGGTCTCCTCTCTTCTCTATTGCTGAAACTTGACTGACTTGATCGTTATGAGCCTGTTGTTCATTGTCACGATCAGGGAATCAGTGGGTGATAAGACCCTCACCTAGGCACATATTCATTGCACAGTCCTCTTTCAATGGGTGTGTGATGAGATTGTGACATCACACATTTGCTGGGACTTCCTGCTTTCACTGGACAGTTGGCCTCACCATGTGCCCGACGGCCTATTTGTGTAACAGCAGTTTGCCATTTTTTGTTAGTTTAGCAAAAAACTTCCTTAGGATTATTACAAAGTGCTTATACATTTTCAATGAAAAAGTATACACAAATATAGTAAATATATTACCCTGCAATGTGTGCCTTCATTCTATTTTTACTTAAAGGGACACGATAGTCATCAAAACAACTTTATCTTAATTAAGCAGTTTTGGTGTATAGATCATGCCCCTGCAGTCTCACTGCTCAATTCTCTGCCATTAAGGAGTTAAATCACTTTTGTTTATGCAACCCTAGTCACACCTCCCCTGGCTGTGACTCACACAGCCTGCATGAAAACAAACTGGCTTAATTTTTAATCAGATGTAACTTACTTTAAAAGTTTTTTATTGCCTGCTCTGTAAATTGAACTTCAATTACTTACAGAAGGCTCCTGCAGGGTCTAGCAAGCTATTAAAAGAGCAGGAGATAAAAAAAAGTTCCAAATTAAATAGATTGTGCACTAAAGGAAGTATAAACATTAGATGACTCTTTACAGAAAATGTTTAGGAAGGCTGTGCAAGTCACATGCAGGGAGGTGTGACTAGTTCTGCATAAACAAAGTGATTTAACTCCTAAATGGCAGATAATTGAGCAGTGAGTTTGCAGGGACATGATCTATGCAACAAAACCAATTCATTAAGCTAAAATTGTTTTGGTGACTGTGGTGTCCATTTAAGTATTTTTTTAATATGTGTATTTCAGTACAATACAACCTCTTTGTAATGTAGAAAGGATACATTGCTATTAATTTGTGTTCTACAGCTTGGATACATTGTAATTCCTGTAGACGGTGTGCGCTACCCACTCACTCCTGTGGCAGTGCAGAAAGTGGTTGCTTTGTGTGCGGAGAAAATGATCACAAACGCAGTAGCTGTCCACGCCAACGTGAGACTGGAACCCCTAAAAAGTGAGTTACTAAGAATTTATTTATACATCATTAAGTAAAAGAAATTTGTCTGACTACTCTAAATTAATTCTTATTGGCCTTTTCTTGTATCTGATCCAGAAACTGTGCTATGTTCAGATCATACAGTATGTAGAAAGTGGACTGTTATTGTAAGTTACACAGTTGTATACGTGGATGTGAATTACATCATACCAGTCAATGAGTCATTTGGCTTTCTCTGTTCATAAATCCATAGTTAGGTTTAGCTTGTCAAAGTGCACACAGGTCTCTCTGCAGATTAGATTATCACATTGAAAAGTACTAATAATTCTCCTTCTGTAATAAAACACGTCCATCGTGGGGGAAAATTCAAATAAACCTGAGTCATATTGCCTACACAAGTAATCACTGCGGATTTTGTTAAAATCCATTTTAAATTAAAGATTTCTTGTTCTCATGAAAGAATAAAATGTGATCTATTTATTTTGTTGGTAACTTTATGGATATGGTAATCAGTTGGCTTTACATACCTACAGTTAAACCTCCTTACTGTATGTCATTAGTTATCTGTCTCAGTAAGGGTACACTGCACCCCTGTCTTATAGTAACCATGTAGCACATATTGGAATGTTGTGAATTACGGTGCCAATCTTAATTTGCAGAAAGAAAGTTCGAGCCAAAAAGTATTTTAGCAGAACTGTAAGAAACACTGTACCTACTGCAGCTGGTCATAAGAAGATGAAGAAAAGAAAAAAGAAGCCTCTGTCTTGATTAGCTTTAAAAACTAGTTGCTAAGCTGCTTTTACACACGTAGTCATGTCCACTCGTAATATTTTAGCTGTTCTATACCAGTTGCCGAATAAAGATCAGACTTCACTGTTAACATGCCAGAAAAAAATTAAGATGTTATTTTATAATCATTTTTGTTTTTCTTAAAATTCCAATACACAGTGAAGAATCCACAACTGTTTACATGTATTTATCATTAAAGTGGGTCTATCACATTTGTAACGAGTCTTTTTGAATCCCTCAAAAAAAAAAAATTAAAAAAAATACCAGCAGTGGTTCATAGGATTTGTATAGTCTAACAGTCGTACTGACCAGTTGGTTTCAATTACCGTTATCTATCTGCATAAGGTAATTAAGACATTCAAGACAATGTTCTAATGACCAAGACTTTTTTTTTTTTTTTAAAAGTCGATGTCAATAGTTTAATTGAATTGGAAAGTTGCCATCATCGCCCGTGGTTAACTAATATACCAAAAGGGCAGTTTTTAAGGGTACGCAGGAACTGCACCAAGAAAGAAGATTATGCTATTATGCAATGACCCTTAAAGACCAATTGGTTCAGAAGGGGAATGCAGAAAATGACTTGTATGATAAAATAGACCAAGTTGCGGATATGGATAGGTCTCTTTTGTTACAATATAGAAAGAAAGAAGATAACATACAGAAGAACGATCAGATTCCTCTTATTTTTAACTTTTAGAGTAATATTGGTATTGTCAAGAACATTATTAATAAGAACTGGCACATTCTGCAACATGAGGAGGACGTTCAATAGTACATAGGCAGTAAACCGAAGTTTATTTTCAGCGGAGCGAGAAACTTAAAACAAATGCTAACCTCAAGCTTCATCAAAACTGAGGCCCCTAAGAATTTTTTAAGTAACTGGACACAAGAGCAGAAGGGCTTTTTTCATTGTGGAACTTGTCAGGCCTGTTGTAACACCTTAAGAACTAATAAGAAAGTTGAAGATTTTCACTCCTCTGTTACCAATAGGAAATATCATATTAAATCTCTAATTACGTGTCACTCCACCTATGCTGTTTATCTTTTGCAGTGTAGCTGTGGATATCAGTATGTGGGAAAGACATCCCGTCAGCTAAAAATAAGAATTAGCGAGCACCTTAGAAACATTCGGAAGGGTTTTTTAAGTCATAGTGTGTCAAGACATTTTTTGCAACATCATAACTCAGACCCAAGGTTTCTAAGTTTCTGTGCAATTGAGAAGGTGGTAGGAGACTGGAGAGGAGGGGCAGAAGCGGCTCTTTAATTAGGCGGCCGCCTAAGGCCTCGCGCTAGAAGGGACCTTGCAGCCGCCTAGACCATGTAGTTAGAGAGACACTGCAGTGCTTTCCCAATAAAAATTAAATATTAATACTTTAATGCTGGCCGGCGGCCGCATCAACATTGCCGCGGCGCTGGTGCTATTACAAGATGGAACCCTCTCACATGGGTTTCATCCGTGCAGGACTGAGTCTCCTCCCCTCCTCCTGCACACTAACCTGGTAATCGGCCAATCCGAGATGCCGATGATGTCACGACGTAACCCCTCCCTGCATTCCCCCGCCTGCGGTACCAAGAAGAAGAGAAGAGTAGCTGCTGCTGAAGGCAAGAGAGCAGAGGAGAAGAGAGAAAACGGAAGGAGAGCAGAGGAAAAGAGAGAAAGGTAAGGAGAGCAGAGAAAATAAAGCAAATGGGAAGGAGAGCAGAGAAAATAAAGCAAATGGGAAGGAGAGCAGAGAAAATAAAGCAAATGGGCAGGAGAGCATAGAAAATAAAGTAAAGGGGAAGGGAAGGAGAGCAGAGGAAAATAAAGAAAAGGGGAAGGGAAGGAGAGCACAGAAAATAAATTAAATGGGACGGAGAGCAGAGGAAAAGAAAGAAAAGGGAAGGAGAGCACATGAAAATAAAGTAAAGGGGAAGGAGAGCACATGGAAATAAAGTAAAGGGGAAGGAGAGCACATGGAAATAAAGTAAAAGGGAAGGAGAGCACATGAAAATAAAGTAAAGGGGAAGGAGAGCACATGGAAATAAAGTAAAGGGGAAGGAGAGCACATGAAAATAAAGTAAAGGGGAAGGAGAGCACATGGAAATAAAGTAAAGGGGAAGGAGAGCAGAGGAAAAGAAAGAAAAGGGAATAGAGAGCACAGAATAATGGTGGTAGATCATGTACAATATTAATATTAAATATTAATATAATAATTATATTATTTACTATAATTATATTATAATTATTATATTAATTATAATCATTAATAATTAATTAATATATTAACAATACTATTATGATAATATGTAATATGTTATAATTACAGTATAGTATTATTATAGTATTATCATATTTTAAAAAAAAAATCAAAAAAACATTTTTTATTATTTTGCATGAAGAAGCCTGTAAAAGACGAAGGCAGCTGTCTTGAGACTGTGCCGTCTCTGTCTCCTTTTCAAGCTGCTCAGGGCTGCATGGACACTAGACACCAAATCGTGAGGTCCCTCTCATTTCATCTCTCTCAGGTAAGAAACCTTTTTTTCTCACTACTTCCAATGTAGTTTAATGGTTGAATCAGGAAGCCGCTGGCTGGCTCAGCCAATCACACAACAGAATGGGAAACATACCATACATATTTTTCTCACTCTGTTTTTGTGAATGGGGAACTATTTTTAGGCTGAACTCTCAGATGATCTTCTTAGCCTATCATTGGTGCCCCAATCAGAAGGTTAAACCAAAGTATTAATTGGCGTTAAGAAAAAATTAAGAAAATCTATATATATATTTAATTTTTATTTGTTTTTAGATAACTTTTTGTTAAACTGCTTAAGTCGTGTCTCTTTTTTCAAAAATCATTTTTTATTATTTTGCAGGAAGAAGCCTGTAAAGGGCGAAGGCAGCTGTCTTGAGACTGTGGACAAGTGAGCCGTCTCTCAATCTCCTTTTCAAGCTTCTCAGGGCTGCATGGACACTGGACACCAAATCGTGAGGTCCCTCTCATTTCATCTCTCTCTGGTAAGGAAGGTTTTGTTTTTTTATGAAGAAAATGAGCTGAGATCTGTATAGGTGCAGATGAGAAGATGAGTAGTTCTGTAATATAAAACTACTCTAATCTCCTGATGAGATATTCTATGGCTACTATTTTGGTGATCATGTATGGATGTAATGGCTTTATGTGGGTATCCAACTCTATATGACTACAATTGGTGCCTCTGTCAGAGGGTTAAACCAAAGTATAAAATTATATAGATAGATACACATAGTCTATAAACAAATAGCACCCCAAGGACTTTGTTATAAGGTGAAAATAACTTGGCTTTTTATTCAGCAAATGCCATAGTGAATCATCGTTTCAGTTCCTGACGAAAGTTCCGACAAGTAACTGAAACATTGATTCACTATGGCATTTGCTGAATAAAAAGCTCAGTTATTTTCACCTTACTACGAAGTCCTTGGAGTGCTATTTGTTTATAGACTGTTGTAATTTTGCTGACACGCACCAGGCTAATTTTATTCCTAATACTGGAGTGCAAGCATTGGATATTGTGTGTGTGTGTGTATATATATAGATATATAGATAGATAATAGCAAAAAGTATAGCTGCACTCACGGTTGAGAAATAAAATCTTCAAAGCTTTATTTGGTCATTTAAAATAAGGATCGACGTTTCAGTCCAACTTGTGGACTTTCCTCAGGATCAAAACATGTCTTGTCCTGAGGAAAGTCCACAAGTTGGACCGAAACGTTGATCCTTATTTTAAACGACCAAATAAAGCTTTGAAGATTTTATTTCTCAACCGTGAGTGCAGCTATACTTTTTGCTATTTTCTGGATACACTTGAGTCCAGGCTGGCACCCGGCAACTTTTTTGAAATATTACAGCTTGAGTGCAGGGACGTTCTCTATATTACATATATAGATATATCTTTGTTGTGTGGTTTCTATATTTTTAGTATCTTGTGTTACATTTAGTGTCCCTTGATTCCGCTTGTCAAGCTAGGATTTATGCTATTTGTTGCATAAACCCTGGATTGGCAAGCGGAATCAAGCGACAATACAAGCATCCTTAAATGAGGATTATATCGCTCACATGCCTACAAGTGGAGCTCTTGATAGCTCCACCCATTTGTAAGGGCATTTCCTTTTTTTCTCACATTAAAGAGATACTACACTATATATTTCTCCATTTTTCATCTTTTACTCTAAATACCACCTGTGCGCTACTTCCACTTTCCCACATAAATATGATTTTATTTATTTCCATATTCACCTGTTTTTTCTTCCTTATGCTTTTCACTCCAACTCCAGGGGACGGCACTGTTTTAACAAATTAGTGTCTTATCCCTAGGAATTCTGCAAAATTGCATTGGGCATGCCTGACTGGTTTACACATGTGCAGTTGTAAGATCTTTTCACATGGCAACATCCTGACCGGTGGGAGAAGAGAGGGAGTCTGAACTGTGTGATTTATGTAGAGCAGGCTTCTTTGTTGCAATTCTCTTTCCTGCAGTTGCACAATGATGCCCTGTTTCTTTCATTAGTGGACTAATCTGAGATGGGTGTGGAAAAGGGGGAGGGGCACTGAGATGCATTCTCCCTTTATTTTATTTTGTTTGCTTACTGGTTTAATAAATTATCAAGCGATGCCCCTGATAATGACTGAGGTATTGTTAATTTTTCTCTCGATACTTACAGGGTTATTCACACGAATTTCATCTAAATTGATAAAAGCCCTTTACTTTAACACATGGCTCCATCAATTTGACCTGCAATACATGTTAATTTGTTTGATAGTGATTAAAAATAACAATAAAAAATAAATATATATATAGTGTGTGTTATGAAGCTTTGTAGAGAGTGGTTTTTCAAAGTTGCTTAAGTTGTATGGTTTCAGTATTTCGAGATTTTGAGCATCTTCTGTTAGGTGTATATTCTCAGATTAGAAATGATTTGGTTTGTTATATAAGTGGACAGTGAGGGGTTTTACTTTACATGAATACAGTACTTCAAATACATATTTTGTTAAAAAAGATTTAATAATGACTAAGGTATTGTTTGTTGCAGCTGAATTGATAGGATCCTTAACTTTAAAGTAGGGCAAAATCAATTAGACAGCAATTTGTGTTAATTAGTTTGATCATGAATAACCTGTTAGAAGTTTCTAGGACAGAGTAGTGCAATCATTTGTTGTCTTTTTCATTATTTATAATATCTCATAGATAGTGGTGGACCTGATACAAGGCAGGGCATGTGAGTGGTCAGAGAGGTTATTTGATGTGTGATCTGTAGCAAGCTGGTCAGGGTCTCTACCTGCTGAGCCAAATACTTACAGAAAAACTCAGTTTCCTGGCACACTTAGTAATCTGTTTTTTGTTTATTTGCTTGTACCAGGGTCAGACAATATTCATACCTACAGAAGTGCGGTGACTTAGCATGGAAACAATCTGACGGTTCTGGCCAATTGAGAGTCCAGTAGTAGAAACAACTTCAATCAGTCAGAACATCTGTTCCTGCATTGATACTTCAACATTGTTGATTTAGATGTTCTAAAAGTTAAAACAGAAAAAATAGACTCATATTGTGTGTATTACTGTACTGTGTATAGTTAGTAAGAAAGATTATCATCATTTCTTAGTTTGTTATCCTGTTACAACAAATATGCATAAAAGTGGCAGGGAATGTGATAAGGGGTGAAAATTTGAATCTGGTAACCAGAAAAGAACAAAGAATACTGCTTTTGAGAAATGCAAAGAAGAACTAAGAGACTCTATGCAAAAATATTTGAAGACAGGGAAGATAACTGCAAGCGAAGAAGTACCGGAGGATGAACCTGAGATAGCAGAATCAGTTTTGACTGAAAGAGAGGAAGATTCACAGCCAAGCACTTCAAATCAGTTTGAACAACGTAACATTTTGTTTAGCACTGAAGAAGAAGATACAGAAGAACCACAGGAATTGGTCTCTTTTCATGCAGAGTGTAGTTATCAGCCTCTTACCTATGATCCTGCAGAATGGACTTTCCCAGTGGAAGATAAAGATAGAGGCTATTTTATTCAGAAAGGACCCATAAGAGAAGACATTTTAACTTTCCCATTAGACAGTACAAAACGGCCTTTTTCTACCTTTCATTACACAAGGATTCTAAGCAACAAGGAGACACAAGATAGGCGTTGGTTAGTTTATTCTAGACACAAGGACTGTGTTTTCTGTTTTGCCTGTCGTTTATTTTCATCAACACGGGAAGCTTTAGTGTCTGATGGCTGCAGTGACTGGAAGAACCTGAGCAATCGACTTCATCTTCACGAAAACAGTTCTGACCATTTACAGAACATTATTACATGGATGGAAGCTAGGAAGAGATTCCGATGTGGTAAAACTATGGATGCATCAGTTCAGAAGCAAATACTGCTGGAAAAGCAACGTTGGCGTGAAATTCTAGAAAGACTCCTAGCCACGGTTCAGTTTTTAGCATCTCACAACCTACCATTTAGAGGTCACAGAGACACTTTAGAAGAAGAGAAAAGTGGTAATTTTATAGACCTGATGAAGCATTCTGCAAAGTTTGATCCTGTTCTCTGTGAACATTTACAGTGAATAGAAGACAAACGTTTTTACAACCATTACTTGGGGAAGAAACATACAAAACGAATTAATTGCCTTGATGGCCAAGCACGTCAAGCAGACAATTATTCAAAAGATTCTTCAAGCAAAATATTACTCAATCATTCTTGATTGTACCGATATCAGTCACATTGAACAGATGACAGTGATATTGCGCCATGTTGATGAAGTGTCAGGCGATATTGAAGAGCATTTCATTGGATTTATACCAGTCAAAAAAAACTACAGCTGAAGAATTAACAAAAACCATACTGTTTGAAATTGATGAATTAGGTTTGGACATCAAAAACTGCAGAGGACAAGGATATGATAACAGCGCTAACATGCAGGGAGAGAAAAGTGGTGTTAAAACCAGAATATTAAATATCAATCCTTTAGCCTTCTTTACACCATGTGGTTGTCACAGTTGGAATTTGGTGCTTGGTGATGCAGCAGCATCTTGTTCAAAAGCAAAATAATTTTTGGGTGTTTTGCAAAGGTTGTACACACTTTATTCCGGGTCATTCAATAGATGGTCTGTTTTAAAGGAGAAGGTAAACATCACCCTCAAGCCATTGTCTGAAACTAGATGGGAATGCAGAGTTGAGAGTGTAAAGGCTGTCCGTTACCAACTACAAGAAATTGCTGAATGCCTGGAAGAAGTGACACAGAAAAGTAATGATCCTGCATTCTGTAGTGAATGTAATTCACTACAACAAGAAATTGTGTCGAGTTTGTTTTATCATTAGTTGTGTGGTATGAGATTTTGGTGAAAATAAACCTGGTCAGCAAGGTATGGCAACAGTCTAATATGCAGTTGGATACTGCATTAAAACATTTGGAAGAATTCATGTGCTGGTTGGAAGACTACAGACAAAATGGCTACAATTCTGCCATAGTTGCTGCCAACGAAATTGCAGAAGAAATGAACATTGTAAGAGAATTTCGACAGTGCAGGATACGCAAGACCAAAAGAATGTTCGACTAAGAGGGCTCAGATGAATTATTGGTTAACCCTGCAGACAGGTTCAGAGCAGACTATTTCAACATTATTGTTGATAAGATTCACACTAGTGCCGAGCCTCGATTTAAAGGTTTAAAAGACCACGTCAGCAATTTTGGTTTTATTTATGATATTTCATCTTTATCTATGAAACCTGATGAAAAACTTTTAGAAAATTGTAAAGAACTTGAAGCACTTCTAACTTTACCAAATTCTCTTGATGCTGATATAAGTGGTTTGGAATTGTACGAAGAGCTATGAATGTGTACCCGTATTATGCCTCCAAAATTGGATATGTGCAACTCTCTGAAACACTCATTGATAATAACTTAACTGATGTTTACCCAAACATTTATGTCGCATTAGGGGTCATCTTAACAATTCCAGTCACTGTTGCATCAGCCGAAAGAAGCTTTTCTAAACTTAAATTAATAAAAACATACCTAAGATCATCCATGAGCCAAGAGAGATTATCTGCATTGGCAATTTTGTCAATTGAACACAATCTGGCTTCAAAATTAGATTATTCATCTGTGATAGATGAATTTACACATTCAAAATGTAGGAGAATGTTTTAAAGCTCACTTTTATTATATTGTTATATTCATTTTATTAAGGCTCAGTATTTGGCTTTCCTCTGTTATTTCCTTGCTTTTGTTGTGTTACTGGGCAGAGGGGACATATTTCAGAGAATTAATCATCAATATGACTTAATTGAGAGAATTCTTTCAATGTGATTGGAAATGCTGGCTAGGCAGCAGATGTCAGGTGTGAAGGATTTAGTGAGGATGATAGCCCATCCAGGGTGACCAAAGTTTAGCAAATTGGGTGAAACTCAGGTTTTGTATTTTATTATTTAAGGTATTGTCTACTCTTGTTAAAAACAAGAAACAGAGTTATTTATTTGGCATTACTTAAAAAAATATATTTGTACTTTGTACCCATTATTTTCCTTGCACTATTGAGTAAACTGTACTATTTTTTTCTGTTTTTTCTTTTACATGTTTATAAAAAAAATGTGATTTGTGTTTTGTGTTTTAATATTTGTTATTGTTTATTCTTGTTAAAAACAAGAAGCCACATTATTTATTTGGCATTACTCAGAAAATATTTGTCCTTTGTACCTGTCATTATCCATGCACTGTTGAGTATGCTGTGCTATTTTTTCAGGGTTTTTTTACATGTTCATATAAAAATAAAAGCATGATTGCATTCTGTGTTTTAATATTTAAGTAATTGTTATTGTTAAAAATAAGAAACAGTTCTTTATTTGGTATTACTTGAAAAATATTGTACTGTGTGCCCATCATTGTCCATGCGCTAATGAGTAAACTGCTATTTTTTTCATGTTTTTACATGTTCATAAAAAACATGTTTGTAAAAAAATGGACGTGGCACATTAAACATGTTTTGTGCAAGAACATTTTGTAAAGTGATTTATTTCTGGTGAATATTGTCCATTCCTGAAGGCATTTTTATGTAAAAACTGCCTTTTCAGAGAAATGGCAGTGTTTACATTACAACCTAGGATCACCTCTAATGGCCACTTAGTCTGCCAGTACAGGTACTTTCTGGGTTAGTGCTGCACTGACGTTCAGCACCTGCACGCTCTATTAGGAGATGCTAATTAACCATGGCAGCCTCCCCTGACTTGATTCCTTGGCTGACATCAAAATTGAAGATCTCGGCCAATCCGGGGCTAAATAGTTTAACACGATAGGGTCAGGAATAGACATTTGTGTTCCTGATACTGTAGTGTTCTTTTAATATACTGTTGACAACTTTATTTCAGTTTTAGGAGACACCAACAAGAATAACTAAGTTGTCAGCCAGAAACCTTTTATCTATACCCAATGTTTGTGTATAGGTATTTTGTAGAATAATTTAATAACAAAAATAAGTTTGTGAATACTGAGATTATGAGGTTTATTAATGTTTGCCTTAAAATATGCAATTTATACAGTTCATTTTAATATTGCCTGCTTATCGCCTGCTTTTTTGTTTTTACTTTTATCTCGCGTGGGGGGGCCTAAGGCCTCAAAAAATCTAGAGCCGCCACTGAGGAGGGGATATATCTAGAGCCCTCAGTCTGAAAGAATCGAAGTGGATTTTTGAGTTACGTACTCTAATCCCAAAAGGACTTAACATCGACTTTGAAATAAAAAACTTGTTATAATTGAGGTTTTCCAGTTAGTTTAACTGTGAATTTTTAGGAACTTACAGAGTGAGATTCCCTTTCTTGAATACAATATTGAACATTCAGGTTCCCCATTTTTTTATATTAGACTGTTTATTTAGTCTTTTTTTGTGCAAAGGTTTTCTTTGTACTGTTTTTTTTTAGATCTATTGAAATGATAAATGGAATGTTGGACAAGTTTGGCTGGGTTTGATGCACTTTATATCTTAATTGCACTTTATAGTTTTATTACACTTTATGCATAGATATATGTTTAATTAGGACCAATATCCATTTCTCTTTTTTATATGTATTTTTTCAGTATATATATATATATATATATATATATATATATATATATGGACTATTGATTATATTGACTAATTGACCATTACAAAGATGGCCGTTTTAGACACTATGGAGAAAGAAAGGGGACATGCCGATTGAATTCAGTGAAACCGGAAATGACGCAACGGACTGACTCCATGAGCACATACGTCACCGGAAGTGACACGACAGACAGACGGAATTAATCTTAATACCCCCAATCATTGAGCCACCCACGAGTTATTTATATCGTGTTGGATTACTTTGACAGGAGGGGAATATTAACTTTATACATTACTTTGTATGTTTTATTTGTAAATATTAAACTTTATGTGAGAGGCTGGATATATCAAGCTCGCACCCAGTGTCCCCGAACCGGATGTGCGGCCATATTGGAGGTGGCAATACACATCTGGTCCAGACCATATAAGGAAATGAGTGTAAATTTGTGCTACATGTGTAGAAAATTATGTGATTAAGCTTCCATGTTATCCCCTATATAAACAGCATTGTGTCCATTGTAATGTTGAACAGCACCTGAGGAAGACCACTAGCAGATGGTTGAAATGCGTTGTGCAATTTTTTAATTTTGTTTTATGGAAAATAAATCTTTTATTTATATATTTTGATACTCCTGGCTCCTGACTCCAACTTTCCACTAGATGGTTATTTCAACAATTGGAGAACTCGCTTGAAGAGAGGAGGAAATCTCTATGTCCTATTAAGTGACATAAAAGCTGTATAAGTTCCGAGCCTACTTCTAAACAGCTCAGAAAAGTGTGAGTGATTTCAGCTCAAAATTCCTGCTTTATTGTGAATTATATACAGATTACACTATGTTCTGTGTTTATATTTTTTGTATAGGCATATTTTTCTACACAATTCTGAATATATTCTTTGTATAAAAGCAGGGGATATTTATTATCAGTTACCAACCATTATATTATACTACAGGTAACTACCTCCATCCTTCTGTGTGCGCTTTTACCTTTTTGTGTTTTATTGTATATTTTCTAAGTATATGTGGTGGCGATATACTTGGGTATAGCAGCACCACACACTGTATATATCCTTAAGCACTATTTCTATATATTTTTTTGGAAAGAACTAAGTGACTTTGACAAGGGCCAGAAAGTGATGACTAGGCTCAGAGCATCTTCAAAACTGGCTGTTCTCGGTATGCAGTGGTTCGTATCTAGCAAAAATGGTGCAAGGAATGATGGCCAGTGAACCGTTGCTATGGGTGACTCTAGGTTCATTGATGCACATGGGGAGTAAAGGCTAGCCCATTTGGCCACAAAAGAAAGGTGCCAGACCGTAAAGCGCTTAGAAGTTTGCCGCGTAGCCGTACACCTGTCGAGTGCCCATGAATGACCTCTGTCCTCTGCCGAGAGTGCCTGCAATGGGGACATGAGCACCAGAACTGGAAGAAGGTTGCCTGATCTGATTAATTTTTTTTCTTTTAGATTAGGTGGTTGGCCGGGCGCG